CATGGAGAATTAGTGCAGGGAAATCACCCCAGAGGGAGACCACAGCTTCGATGCAAGGATATCTGCAAGCAGGATCTGAAGGCCTTGGAAATGGACTTCAACAGATGGAAAACGTTGACATCTGAGCATTCAGCCTGGAGGCAGGCGGTGCATCATGGCCTCTCCCAATTTGAAGAGACCCTTGTTCAGCAGGCTGAAGTAAAGAGGCAGTCACGAAAGCAGCAAAATTAGGGAGCTGGATAGGGGACAGATTGTATTTATCTTCAGCGTGGGAGGGACTGTCACCCTCGAATTGGCCTTCTCAGCCACACTAGATGCTACCGTACTCCAAGTCCTCCATACAGAGCACGTTACCATAGTCTCTCAGGATTGAAGGATGCCTAATCTCTCCCTGCACCTCCCAACCCAGCTGGAAGCCTCATTCTCTTGTGGTGGTCACTAAGATGTTCTCATACAAAACATTCCACATTACTATTCTCCAAGGTGGGTAACAATCTGCCCATAGCTGCATGCAGGCTCTTCCCAATGTTGCAGCATATCTCACAATATAACCCACCCTCATTTTCATAAGGTACTGTTTCCATTTAAAGAAGGACACATAGACAGCACACAGCTTTTTTTAATACTAGCCTGAAAGCCTCCTGGAAGTGAAGGACTTGTCCGTTGCCTTGACTTAAAGGGATACTGCTGCCAATGCTGCTGGTTTGCTACCAAACTGCAGTGGTACAAAAGTGACGAGATGAATTTCCACCACCACCCCAGTGTATTCTTTGGGGAAATTGGGCATGGAGCCTGCAGACACTGTTGAACCTAGTCTACTTATTTTCCTCATCACTCTAAAAAGTGGAATCACACTCTGTGTTAGCTCAAAACTGCCATGGAAACTTGTTTTTACAGGAGTAGTACCCTACTACCCAGCCCTTTTTCAGTGTCTACTGCTCACAGGAAAACCACAGTGCTCTTGCCATGCCAGACATGAATGCAGTCTCCAAGGAAAAAAGCCCTGTAACGTGTCTGTCTCAAAGGATATTAGACTGACATCACCCAGGTACATTGAAGCATGCTGAGAATTCCCTGAACCCTTCTCCAAAACAAACCTGGAATGTATTCTGAATATAAGATATTCAATTAGGCAATTATTTGTTTGGCTAATTCTTTAAGAGTGAACAACAAGACGTTTAAAAGTCAACAACATACTGTGGAAAACTCTCAGACTGAAAATTTACTGTCGATGCACATCCTTGAAAGACTGGAGAAGGAAAATGAGACAAGTCCAATTTATGAGATCAAAGTTTCAAGCTGACAGAGCTGCAACTTTGAAGGATTTGAAAGCCAGGGAGGTTGACAGAGGCTGCCAGAGAAGATGCTCCTTTGCTGAGCCCACTGAATGGAACAAATAGGTATCGAGGTGTAACAATGCCTCGGGCAGTGCTAATCCTTGCAGAGTTGTTCCATGGCCAATGAATGCTGTGATGCAGAGAACAAGGAGGACAATGTTGTATGACACCATTGATTCTGGAGGAAAAAGTTTCCACTATTGGAGAAACAACCAGCAACTGTACTGTGAAAGTACAGGATCTATCAGAGTGGCCTAAGACAAATGTCAATCGTCCTCTAACATTTGCAGGCATGAGAAGAAGAAAAATCTATCAGAGTGGCCTAAGACAAATGTCAGTCCTCCTCTAACATTTGCAGGCATGAGAAGAAAAAATACTCCCCTCCAGTTTAGAGACCCAGTGCATAATTCGAGCATTCTTCTGGACCTGGCTCTGTCTTGGGAGGCCAGACCATTCTTCTGGACCTGGCTCTCTCTTGGGAGGCCAGATTGCAGTCATGTCCAGATCAGCTTCCAACCAGCTTAGGCTAATTTCCCAAATTTAGCTCTACCTAGAAGAGGACTCCCTTGGGACTTTAGTGCAGGAGATCAGCCTTCAACCAGCTTAGGCTAATTTCCCAAATTCAGCACTACCTAGAAGAGGATTCCCTCGGGACTTTAGTGCAGACTCTGGTCATCTCCCGGATCGACTACTGCAATGCCCTCTATGTGGGGCTTCCCTTGAACCTGAACCAGAGACTTCAATGGGTCCAGAATGTGGCAGTCAGACTGGTGGTTGGTGCAAGTAAATTTGACCACATCACTCCAGTTCTGGGTCGCCTCTGCCAGAAAGATGGTTTCTTTGGTAATAGAGAACACTGAAGTAAAAACAAGAAGTCATGGCTCCTATAAATGACTAAAATATTGCTGTATATTTGGGTATAAGCCCCAGTCAATGAAATTAAATCTACGTTTGCATAAGCAAACATAGGATTTGGTTGTGAGCAGTTTGCTGTTTACAATACTTCTATCAAGACAAAACCTTCCCTCTTGCAGCCAAAAAAAAAGTATCTTCCAAAAGACCTCCGCAGAAATGTTTGCCTTTTTCAAACCTTTGTTAACTGCAAAACTTTGCCATGATGTTTTATGCTAAAGGGAATTCTTTTAATTAAAAAAAAAATTGAATTTTATATGTCAGCATTCTATAATGCATGTGCCAGTCTCCTGAGGCCACGTCTAGATTTCCTTATGAGCTATCTCTTCCCTAGTTCATGGGAAGAAAAAACTAGTCACTTTTGTAAGTGCAGTTTCATAAATCAAATAAAGAGAATCTGCAAGGTATCCTGAGATCAGTATGGAAGAGGCCTCGGGGTACCATAATAATTTACACAAGCAGATTGAAAAGGATGACCACTTCCTCGAGTAGCAAGGCAGCAATCTGTAAAATGAGATTACTCGTACCTACAAAACCTCATACAGAGTGTCAAAGGACCAGGCCTATGATTCTTATTTCTGGCATCAAAATACAACATGTGGAAGAAACCATCAAGAATATCTCATTTGCAGATCCCACTGAAATTAATTAGAACTGCACAGAATCCCAGCAGTGTAGTACTTTTCCATTTTTCATGGAAACCTAGGCATTTAAGATTTTTTTTCCTGTTGTTTCAGAAGCTGGGCTCATACAGTTAGTATAACTTCCACAGCAAGCAGCAGTTTACTATCTATTTAGAAGTAACAGCAATGTATTCTACTGCTACCTATCTGCAGTATTTCTAAATTTCTTCCACCTGACATCAAAGACGAAATAGTTTATAGAATATACAACTGGACATTCTTCAAAAGTAGTGGAGGAGAGAAGAAGCTGTATTCACCTGCTTTAGCATATGCCATCTATGTTGGTTGTGACCTACCTGGTCATATTCATCAGTTGCATGAAGTGGCTACATGCACCTAATCAGCCCAAGGGCCATCATGCGATCTAGTGAGAAACTAGTATCTCCAAAGCTTTACCCCAGTCTTGTCTTTGTCCAGACCCTCAAAGCTATATAGCTTGACACATGTCCATAATACCGGGCCAGCTCACACAGATCCCACCTACTTTTTGGAGCAGTGCTCCATGAAAATCGGTCATCATTTCAACTAAGTGTTGACTCAGATAATCAATTTACTTTTTAGCCAAGTTATCATGCACTGATTGCACTTAGTGAAGCTATGCACGTGTGCAATCTTAGCACCAATCCAAAACATAACAACTGGGTCATTTCAAGGTGACCTGTTCCCATGTGGGTATGCATAAAACAGTCAAGTACATCTCCAATGGCTTATTTAAAGCGGCCCTAGAAACTATTTTGAACATGGTACTTTGAACACACTGCTGGAAATAAGTGCTCTGCCACTTGCATTTTATGCATGGTGGAACCCCCATATATATTGTATACAAACTGGTAGGCAGGCCCTGTAATGATTGTCAGGGAGTGCATGAAATTAATGTTTCAGGAGGAACTCCAAAGCAGAATTTTTGAAAGAAAAAAAGAAAAGAAAAGAAAAATACCCATCAAAAGATATTGTGGCTTAAGTAGAGTTAGAGTAAAAATATTTAGGTTATTTTTGTCAGATGATAGTATCAACCACCTTCCTTAAAGACCTCAAACGTTTCTTATCAGTAAATATTTTTATAAGTGTGATCTTAATATTATAACAGGCGCTTTCCCACCTACATGCGATGTTAGTTCTGATTTCACCCCATCATTCATTAAGCTTCCTTTACAGCTTACTGAATTTCGGTTCTCAATTCTGACACATCTGAAGAAAATTGCATACAATCTGGCAACCAGTCACACCTCCAGTAGTTTCTTCTGCTCTGCCTTGTTTTTCATAGAAATACATGCTTAAACTCAACAATTAATAGCTCCTAATAGGGGTAATATAATACACCAAAACAAGCCATATAATATTTGTTTCTGTGGTTTTATAATCAACAAATTGTTGCACACAGCAACAACAAATATTAGATACAAACAATGCTCATTATCAGCTACTAACAACTATCTCAACAAAGCGACAAAATTATCTGGAAAAAAACATTTTAGTAGAGTGACCAACAATGCCTTTGTTTCAAATTTAAGTCTTAGAGCATCTATCGCTGCAGCTTTTCAAGGCTCCTTCCATATACACCACATGAAATGGGAGAATAAAATATTACCTGCTGGATCCAGTCTTAGCCATACTTAGAGCTGACCCACTGAAATGATTTGAAATTAAATATATTTTAATGGGTCTAAGCTACACATAACTGAGCCTGGTGGACCCAGCCCATTGGCTGAAATAAAAGAATAATTAAATATAAACACATAACATTAATACTAACTACCTACAAGCTCACTGATCTTTTAAGCACTGTACCAGTGCTATTTGCAGCACTTTTTATCAGCTCGTCCACACGGGAGCAGAAATGCAGAATATTAGACCATAGCACAGGCTTATACTGATACATTCATTCATTGTAAACACTGGGCACTCTTAAGCAGCAGCTTACAAGTATGTACACATCACTCAGCAAGGTTGGTTAACATTTTCCAAATGTAGAAAACACAGGAGATCAGAATCCATGTTGTAACGTTACCAAATTTTGTAACTTGACCAAAACACTGTGAAGTAATCAAACCAATTACGAAAACCCTACCTTCTTGGACTGCCTGGAATGGGTTGTTGCCATCCACAAAATTCACAGAAATTGTGATTTTCTCTGTCTGTAAGATTTCATCATTTTGGTTGAGGTCAGATACTGCCATGCGAAATACCTCCTCATCCTTTTTTGCAGATTCATCAAATATTGCCCCTAGAAAAAGAAGACATAGGAATAATCAACAGTAATCCTAAACATTAATGGTAAATATATTCGGGACCCAGTGCCTGAGATGCATTTTGCCAACCATTCAACAGAACATATTTCATGTGCATTTCTGCAGAAACACCTGTTTATCAGTGAGCCAAGAAATCCATTTAGCAGTGCTTGGCAAGAGTTACGGCAAAATCCGGAATTTAATAAAATTAATAAAAAATTAATTAATAAAATTAAAATAATAACAACAACAATTTGCAGAAATTTTGGGAGGCATGATATAAGTAATCCATAAAATTAAAATAATAACAACAATTTGCAGAAATTTTGGGAGGTATGATATAAGTAATCCAAAATGAAACATGGCTAAGAGTCTGAGGTGATACTCCAAGTTTTGTTTTATTTTAATCTAGTCATTATATGTCACCTTTCTGCCCATAATGGACTCAAGAGTAGTTGGTATGACTAGATGGGCGGGCTATAAATGTAACAAATGAATAAATAAAGATGACTCACAGTGAACATTACTAACAAACCAGTTATCTTGGATGGTTCATGCAAATGAGAATTGCTGAATATAAAATTGCAACGAAGTATTTAGCAACTTGCAACACTATAACAATTCTCTATGAGGCTATGACAAGAGAAAGACCACACAGGTTTGTGAGCTGGTAACTACAACAACATCTTACAGGTCTACCCGGCTGCTCAATGTGTTGGCCACAATTCCACTAAAAGTGGTCATGATCAAATTTTCCTGAAGGCAAGGAAGAGTTTTTCAGTCCGTATGGAACACCGTTCATTGAATTCATACAAAGGTTATACATTTTCTTTTAAACTTAAAAACAAAACAACAACCAAAGCAGAAACAAATATTACTATAACACCAGCTACTATTCAAGTCCACACTGCCAGCCTTGTAAGTGGAAATGAACTATATTTTGTCTCAGCATATAAGGACCAGCAATTACAAAATTGTTATTTTTGCACGGTGAAAGGGCAAGGCATTTTGTGGCACTCCAAACAAAAGAGTAAGGATCTCTCTCTCTTTTTCTTGGTGGGAAAGGGGTGCAAAATAAAACAAAACTTTACAAAATAGCACAGCAATGCAAATTGTGCAAAATGATGGTGCCTGCTGCTTTCCTGCATGGACTTTTAAACTTAAGGAGTATTAAGAGGAGTTTTTCTACCTATTTTCTAACCTCTCATTCTGTGCTTCCTTGCTTGCTTGCTTGTTAGCATTCTTGTGTTTTGAATTTTTAAAAGGAACAGTACAGAGAGATACTGCACCTTTCCACAGAAAGCACAATAAGAAAAAAAAATGTGTACATTATCCTGTAGGAAAGAAGTCTCACAGTGCAAAAAACTGCCCATTTTGACACCTCAACAGATCAAGATGAAAATGAAATATCTTAGTTGCAATTAGTCATTTTTGGCACCGGGAGTAAATAGCACCATTCCCACCCACTCAGTTGTGCGGCACGAAGACAGACCCCTGTGAAAAAAGAGGAGATGGGGTAAGCCTCCAAAAGAAATTTTATGTTTATAAAGAAATCAATCAATAAAATGAAAGTGACCAGGGTGGGAAATGTTGCTGTTTGTTTTCCTAATGTTCACCAGTAGATCTACCTCTAGAGTTTTGTGTCTTTGAAATTCTAGGGCCTTCTGACAAAGCTCGGTTGCCCCATCTTATTTATGACCCTGTGAAGGATTAGCAAGTCTTCTATACTTCCCTAGTTACTCATTTCAACTGTTAGGGCAACAACTGAATAAATAACCGACACGGGTCTCTCAAAACCTGTCTCCAATTGGTTAGTTGTGTCGCCTGCCCTAAATCCATACCAGCAATATTGACAAGTTGTTGAAACTGTTTCTCCATTAATAGAAGCAACAGTGAGGCCAGAGAGTCTGGCAGATGAGTGTTTTGGGAAAACAGAATGTGTGCCCTAACATTCTTCAAAAAGTTATGGCAGATAGCCAGGGCTTACTTAGCAGGCAATGTTCTCTGAAACTAAGAAGGAAAAGCGAAAAGCACTGCTCTAAATTAGTGCACCAAACAGTGGAATACTGTTTTGTCCTTATCCCTTGCACATTTCCTTGCATTAATCTTTATAATGTTACAGGTCTTGCGTTATAATGGGAGTTGTCCACGGACCAGTCATAGCAGATTATTAGGACATCGTAGTGCACTGTGTTCTCAGATACATCCTGTACTTTAAAAAAGAGAGAAAGAATACAACCTCATTGCCTTAATCTATCATGGTCTCTTTTCTGCACCCTCTGTCATCAATTTTCATGCCAGATTTATTCATTCAGTGCCAGCAGACTCCCTGCTCGAACTTTGTCCAGTTTGACCCAGGAGTTTTCTTCTTTGAATCTCTTGCCATCTGGAGCAGCTGTTTCATACCTCTCCATCTCATTGACCTGTCATTTCCTTGCAAATCTCAGCAGAAAACACACATTTTTCTCCCTTGCTTCTTCATTTCTCTGTCATTTTGCCAGATCATTATTTACATACAGAGTACCTTCGCTTAACTCCCTGCAAGCACTGCTGACTCCTGGCAACAGCTGATGTGAACAGAGTCTTTATTTAAGGGGAAAGTGCATGTCTCGAATGTAAAGGTGATATTGTCATTTTCCCTTAGTCCCATTAAAGGAGTGTTAGTTTCTCACAATTTTAAATGGATTTGCTTCCAGGTATCAGAAAGATCACTTAGCAGTGAATGGTGCTTAGATTGTATGCACCTTGTGATGACACAGAGCAAGATATCCCAATGGCAAGGTCATCGGGAAAGTACTCTTCTGCTCATCAGCTGGGTAAAACAACTTAAAACCACGACAAATATGAGGACAAATCCTAATTACAATGGGACGGCAACCTGGAACCATCTATTTAATTTCATGGGGCCCCTGGATTAACTGCAAAATATTTGTAGCTGATCACTTCAGGCCTCTGTCGCTTCCCCAGCAACAAAACTAATGAGTGTGCTTAAAGGCAAAGGTAAAGGTTCCCCTTGACTATTTTTGTCCAGTCGTTTTCGACTCTAGGGGGTGGTGCTCATCCCCGTTTCCAAGCCACAGAGCCAGCGTTTTGTCCGAAGACAATCTTCTGTGGTCACATGGCCAGTGCGACTTAGACACGGAACGCTGTTACCTTCCCACCGTCGTGGTCCCTATTGATCTACTTGCATTTGCATGCTTTCAAACTGCTAGGTTGGCAGGAGCTGGGACAAGCGATGGGCGCTCACTCCGTCATGCGGATTCGATCATACGACTGCTGGTCTTCTGACCCTGCAGCACAGGCATCTGCGGTTTAGCCCACAGCGCCACCACGTCCCTTAATGAGTGTGCTTAATAGCCAATAAATGGTGATTAACAGTTTTGAGGAAGGGCAGGGGAATGGAATATAGGCAGGAAAAGCATTGGAGAACCCTGAACAGAGGAGCCTGCTGCACTGTAGCATTTTGTTGCAGGTCTCACTTATAACAATTGGTTATCAACCAATTTTATTTTCACCTAGCAGGCTAACAATTTTGTAGTGGGAAAGAGAATCACTACATGAGTATGCATACAGATGCAAGATGCATGAAGCCTTGTTCTACACTGGTGGGGAGGAAGGGAGGAAAGCGTCATATTTAATTGAAAATACATCCTGTCCTACAAGACTCTGACATAGTTTGCTGATTAATTTCACTGAGCACTCCCAAATAGCACTGGCAGTACATTTCAGGACTGTAAAGGGGGGGGGGGAACAATCCTAGACATCAAGAATCATGAGCAATGAAATGTCACATATTGGTAGGACAGCTAATCAGCTAAGGCCATAATGTGCCGTAGGGCAACTATAAGGTATAAAACACTTATTCTGCAGGAAAGAATCCTGTTTCTTTTTTTTTCTTTAAGTATGAAAGAACATCACAGACAAGCAACCATTTGTAATTGTTGTTGTTCAGTATATCAGAATCATCCATATGGTTTAATAGAGACTTGAGTATTTCAGCTACCCACTTGGTCTTCTAAGCATTTGCCATTTTTTTAAAAAGGACACCAGCCATTTCATGTTCTAATGAACGTTGCTTAATATGATTGCTTCTTGTCCCCAGTGACATTGTTAGTTCATTCCAGCGTGTGAATCCAATTACATTGTGTTTTCCAAACTGCTGATATTGCATTATTATCCTAAAGATGAGACCTGATGTTTCCACAAGTTTTGGTGGGGCGGGGGCTCATTTACAGGATAGAAAAAAGGAACCCAGCGTTACATACTCAAGAACTGTTTCTGTGACCAAAAAGCTGCCATCAAGACATTATGTTACCCATCCCTGAAATTAAACCTTTATGTTAACTGGAAAGTTAGATGTTTAATGTATCTAAAATAATGCTAGATAACTGGAATAAATTGGATTTTGCATATTTCCTAAATTTCCTCTTAGATGATTCATACTTTATTTGCTACATGTTCTGTATGCCTTCCTCTTTTGTTGTTTTTGACAGGAGTTTGCAGTTTTCAGCTACTGAGACCTAGTGATGTATTTTCACATTATTATTACTTATGTAACTGGCTGGATGGCTCGGTGGTTTGGAGTACATGGATACCAGGATACAAATAGTCAGACTCCTGGATTATTATTTTTTAAAAAGCCACCATGGAAATAAAGCATACACCAGTAAGAAATCCACGTGGACTGACAAGCCTCTTCGAAACAGTTTTATTTATTTTATTTGATTTTTTAATTTATATCCTGCCTATCTAGACCAAAGTCTACTCTGGGCAGCGAACAGTACTCAAGAATAATAATAATAATAAAACTTTTTAAAGGCATCCTTCAGTCTTGAGAGACTATGGTAACGTGCTCTGTATGGAGGACTTGTGTCAACAACATTAATACAATAACAAATAAATTAGGTATTGACGGAGGACTTGTGTCAACAACATTAATACAATTATAAATTAGGTATTGACGGGAAGGAACGCCTGCCTAAAGAGCCAGGTCTTG